CTCTCTCTCTCTCTCTCTCTCTCTCTCTCTCGCTCTCTCTCTCTCTCTCTCTCTCTCGCTCTCTCTCGCTCTCTCTCTCGCTATCTCTCTCTCGCATGTGCGTGTCCGTATTTGTGTGCTTGTGTGTGTGTAGAGTTCTTCCCGGTTATGTTTGCCATGCCCCGCCTGGCGGGCTGGCTGTCGCACTGGCGCGAAACGGTCCACGAGAAGCCGGCCGGGCGCATCTTCCGGCCTCGGCAGATCTACATCCCCGGGGGGACGGTTCCGCCGCGCTTCGAGTAAATGCATGCACGCGGCGCTCGGCGACGCCTGGGTCGGGGCCTGTGGCGCGTTGGCGCCTGCGACCCGGCTGTTTGTCTTGTCCCTTCCCGCCATCTCCCTCCCTGGTGCATTCCTCCCGACATGGCTCCGGGTGGCTACCATGGCCTGGTACCCCGCCTCCTTGTCGCACCCTTCCCGCCGCACAGCCGCGCGGGCGCCATCTCCCTGCACTCAAATACACATTTCACAAGTCACTGGCCAGAAGCCGTCCAGGGGGTGTGCTCTTCGTGCGGCCTTGTGCGATTGCCGTCCAGACTGCGGGGCATCTTGAGTGGGCTTCCCGGCGCCCGGGGTTCAGCCTCGGCCATTCGGGGCGCGGCCATCGGCGCGGTCCGTCATGAGGCGGCAGTGGCGGCAGGGATGTTGCCCACAATGTCCGGCGACTGCCAACGGATCCACGGCGATCGGCGCCCCCGGCCAGGGTGCCGTCATCTTCAGGCGCCGGGGCGTGTCTGCCGTCGCGCCGCCGGGGGGGAGGCCCGGGCAGTGCTCTCGCCGCCACTCCATCTCCCAGCCCCTCCCCGTCTTCCTCTTCTTCTCTCTTCTTCTCTCTCTCTCGCTCTGCCCTTCCCCATAGCCCCGCCGCCGCACCTCGCACAATCCTCCCGTCTTGCCCATACGTGTTCAGCCTCTCGCGCTGTCACCCGTTGACGCTCGTCTGCCTCCCCCTTTCGGCCAAGGCAAAGCCGGAGCATGACCACCACTCCTGGCCCTTCTGTGGGCGACATTTGCCCGGTGCGGGGCTCCATCGCCTCGGCGGTGGCGCACTTTACCAGCCCCCAAATCCAGTGGACCGATGCCCTCCTGGCGAACATCACTTATGGCACAGCCGGGTTCCGTCGCACGGCGGACCCGGTGCTGGAGTCGATTGCGACCAAAGTTGGTGTGGCGGCCGCCTTGCGATCGTTCGCCGCCGGCGGTGCCGCGGTCGGTGTCATGATCACCGCCTCGCACAATCCCCCCCAGGTAGGCCCCTCATTTGCCCCCGGTCAAGGCCCCTCCTCTCTTGCTTTCTTGTTTTTTTTTTCTTCTCCCCCCCCCCTGATGCCCACGGCTGCGGGGGTCGAGGCGTCGCGGCGATTCATGCCGCCGTCTTTCGCCTCCGCC